TGATTTCAGGGAAAGTCTGCAGTAAGGGCCCTGTGGCTTGAGCTGGTCCCTGTTTCAAAAGCACAGTTATTTGCTTGCTTCATTTCTACCCCTAGGTGCAGACACCCTCAGATGCCAAAGAGCCACTGGGACAGCCTGCTTCTCCTCCCAGGCCCTGCTGAGAGGGGCTGTCTCCCAGCCCATCCCTCTGGAAATATCCCCGTGTCACTCAGCTCAGGACACTCGCTTCAGCTTGAAGCAAGCGAGGGCTTCCCCACGCCTGGGATTAGGTGCTGGCTGTCAGATGCCATGGGAACGTGGGGGAAGGCAAAACAGTTTTACGTAGGCAGCGTGGCAATGGGGAAACTCAGCGTCTGGTCTGTCCTGTGCCCCAGGTGGGATGAGTCACTGGTCTGCTGGAGAAGTTTGTTTTCCAGAGGGAGAGCTGTGGGCCCAGCGGTGCAAGTACCAAGAGAGGTCCTTTGCTGGTGGGAGACTGCTCCCAACCACACCACGTCCCTCGCTGCTGTAGCATTAGCTGGGGATTTTCAGCAAGTCATTTCCATTTTGTTTTTCCTCCAGAAAAATAAATGGTGCTTCTTCATAGCAAAAGATTCTGCGGACTCAAGACCCTGATATAGGCAAAACAGGGAAGAAAATCTGCTCCTCAATGGTCTTACGAGACTAAAGCAGAATATTTCTTTCCTCAAGACATTATTAGCTTTTGCAACATTCCCTTCTTTCACTTGCCCTGCATACTCACCTGCTGCCATATCTGAAGTAATTTTTTGTCTGTTATAATCATAATATAGTAGCCATCCTATCTTTTAGTATTGCATTAATATTCGTGGACCAAAATAAAACTGCAATGAGCTAGAATATAGTTACCCATTATTTGCTTGGGAGACAAGATGCAAGAAGATGTACTTTACACATGGCAAAATCATTCATCCTTCCACTGATCTCCACAGCCACTAAACCCTCCACACATCTTAGGAAAAGGTTGTAATTGAATACTATGATGTGAAAATAACTGAAGAACTGGATTCCAGTTGTCATGTGGAAATGCCTTTTCCTGATTTTTTCCCCCAAGATCTCTATTTGCACCATGCAAATGGGTCAACCACTTCAACCTAAATGTAGAGCCTTAAAGCTTGCCGTTATTTTGATGGCAGCTTTGGTACATGGAACATCTACAGGGTCAGGTGGAACATAAGGTGGGACAAGTGTAGCCATGAGTTTTTTATCTTACTGTGCATTATATTGGGACTGATAAAATAAAATCAGTTATTTTCTCCCAGTGAAACCCACATATGTTTAAACATCTTCAAAGCCTGCAGTGCAACAAATTGCACACTGAAAAAGTGTCTCACGTCTATGAGACACACCTTGTTCAAGAGAGGTTATATAGCCAAAAAGCAAGAAAAGCAAAGGAGTGCTGTGCCAGCTTCATGAAGGGATTTAACCTTTGAGCTTTCTTTGCAAGCTTAGCCATGTCCCAGGCAGATACATTCCACATTGTGCTCATTATCTATCCAACAAGCATGTTATAAGCTTGAGACCTTTATTTGTTCCAAGTGCCAGAACACTGCAGAGCTACAGTTCACATGTCAGTCCCTCATCCTAAACTCCATTCACTTCTAGTAAGTGTCCCAAAGCACACAATATTTTTTTCCTTTCTAGGAAAGCTAGCTTTCTAGCTCTGTGTATTTGAGCTAAATATGCTTGAAAAGCAAAAGACTTCTGATAAAGTCCAGATGAGTGTCATATGATTAAAGCAGAAAACCTGAACTCTTGGAGAAGATAACAGAGTGTATAAACTCTCCATATTCTCACTTTCCACAGAGTTCATAAACTTTGCAAAAGAACTGGAGTGTGCAGATGCTTTCAGAGAAGATAACTGCACTGGTAGAGTTACTCTCCTGGCTTTCCAAAAAACTAAACTGTACGGGCATCTTGTCTTCCCTGTGAGGTTTTGAATTCTGTCAGCTCAAGCAACTATTCAGACACCCCAAACTCCACTGTGCAACCAGTGAAACATTCAACCTTCTTCCCTTCCAAACTGGCTGACCTCAACAATGTTGGCTTTTCATCTTCTGTCTGTGTATATACATATGCTAAACCAAACAGCAGAGATTCAGGGGGAATTACAAACATTGCAGGTGGAGAATTTAATTTGAATTTGCAGATTATATTGAACAACTTGCAAGAGCATTACCATTATATCTGATTATGATAGGATGAAGATGTCAGTAGTGGGTTAAGACAGCTACACCGTCCAAGTCATGTTGAGAATATTTGCTGGCAGCTGCTGGGGTGCACATGTGTATCACGTACGTCAGGGAAACCATCCCCGCAGGAAGACCGAATTTCAGAACCTACCCAGCCTGTGGTAGATTGGGTAGGGAAGCTGAGAGTAAAGCCCAGAGGAAAGGAGATGGGAACTGTGGAATAGAGGGGGGAACTGTGGAATAGAGGGGGGAAAGAGAGGGTTCATCTCAGGAAAGATGTAAAACACTTCTGTCCTCTCTGTTTACATCACGTGTTTTTTCTCTGTGCTCGGGAAGGCATGTAATTACACTTTGCTTATCCAGCCCTGTGTTTAGCTTGGCACAATACAAAGTGAAACATCCCACAGAACATGATGCTGAATGCTTGTTTTCTATGACCTTTCTGGAGCAGTGTGGATAAATGTAATCCCAGAATTATTAAAACCTGATGTTTCAGCACTGAGGCAGGTAGAATCAGGCTCAACACAAGACCTGGATGCTCACAAGCGAGATGCTGTCTCACAGCCTGGTCTTTCGGGTGGAATCCAAGACCAGCATCAGGCACCTGCACGCTGCATGGGAAAAGGCAGGAGCCCCGGAAGTAAAATCCCAACCCCACACCAAATGAGCAAGGACAGAATGATAGGAAAACTGGAGGACAGGATTGGATCTGAACACATCCCACCTCCACAGAGAAGTTGTCTGAAGGAAGGGGCTGGAAAGGATCAGGACAGTGACGTGAGTTTGCATCTTTAGCAGTGAGATCTACAGCCCTCTTACAGGTGAGGGGTAACCCACCCCTGCAATGGCCGAGATCTACATTGTAATGGCAGAATTTAGCACAGGCAGAAGCGTAACCCACTGTCACCTACTCCATGCACGTATTTTTTAAATACAGGCTTTACATATTCTTCCATTGGCTAAATGACTCCACTGTCCCACACATATCTTCCTTTTCCACCTGGAAATTTTGTCCAGGGGGATTTTGAGGATTTGCTTAGGTTTTCTGGGTATTTAGCAAGCTTGACGAGGTCAGATGATAGATGCATGCCCATCGAGAGCCTAATGCAGCACATGAACAGTGTCTCTGTGTCTCTAACACTTTCAGAAACATCAGCTGACTTTCTAATGCGTGTGCTGGAGAATATTCTGCATGTGTGTACTAAGTCCAACATTTCTGTATTAGAAGGGCTGGACTTATTGTGGATGTGATTTGTGGTAACCCCAGACATTGCAGGATAGTCCACACAGAGGATGACCTCCCTGGTTTGTCTGTAGATGCTGTCCAGTGGGAAACTGTGCGTGCAACTGCAGAATTTAAGCATGTGTGAGTGAGGCCGGATAAGGAAGGAAGTGAAATGCCAGACAACCGTGTAGGACCTGGAAGCAAGGTGAAACTTCTTAATATTTTCTGTCCTGTTAAAGCTGTCATTCATGACACAGACAAGGCCTAACCTGGAGATCAGGAGGAGGCCTCACTTCTCATGGAAACTCAGGACTGAGAAGCCCTTTGCTAAGCATCGTGGTCTCTCTCCTGCTCTCCAGCACCACGTACCAGAGGCAGCAAACCGGCTTCATCTACGCCCAGCCACACAGCTGACGCAGGAGCTCTGAGGGCAGGACCAGGCAAGATGCTGAATGGAGCCAGCCTTGTCCTGGAGCGCTACACTCACAGAGACCTGCTACAATTAACTCGTTGCAGCTGAATTTTGTGCACAGAAGGTAGAGTTTGACCATAGATGATAAACTTTCAGGAACAATTTTGAAAAACTGTAATAAATGTTCCCTGAGATTGCTTCAGCAAGTGTTTTTACACTCATTTGCAACACAGGCAGCTGAGATTCTGAGCCTTAGAGAAAATATTCTTCCTTTTAAGTTGAATTAGCATAAATTGTAAGAACGCTTGAACTTTCCTCTTGGCTCAGGCTAAGAGCCCATCACTCACGATAACTCACTTCAGACTGCAGCCAGCAGCAGATACATAGGGGGGAGGGGAGGGAAGAAAAAAAAAAAGCAGCAGGGCACATCTAGAGTGATCCTTCTCTTGGCCTATTCTTCCAGACTCACTGGTTTGCATCTTTTCAAGCTGAAGGTTGCACCTGGGTCAACATGTTCAATAGCGTACATAACCAAAACTCAGTACAAACAAGAAATCCTTTCATCTTTTAAAGCTGTTTTTCATAATCACAAGGAGACTCTTTCACACGACCCACCTACCGGAGCAGGTTCAGGGCAGCATTCTGCAGCCTGACACTCCCTGGGAATATCTTCCTACCATCTTATATGTTTACATCTCCATTTCTTGCTGGCACTCAGGACTGGCTTATCACACTAAGGCCAGGCTTACCCACACAACTTGCTGTTTGGACATTTGATCAGCAGTAGCTGTTAAGTTTTTGGAAAGCGGTGACTAGTGAGAAGAGGCTACTAACTTCTTCTAAGAGAAGAAGAAAACCTTAAACGCTGTAATATTTTCTGCACTGGTACATTGCCACATGTGGTTTTTTGTAGTATGCAGCCCACCATCTAAAGCAACCAGGTCTCTTTCTGCACAGGGGTGAGGGCATTTTTCTTCTTCATCGTGTTAGTCAAAAGCCTTGATGTATTTCAGTGACAGTCCCTATTGCCCAGAATTTCATACATAAATGCCAGGTATTAGGTGATATAGTTAGGGGAGCTGAGGGAAGATGAGCTCAGAGAGGTGACCCGCTGCTTCAGAGACTGCTCCCCGCCACCCCTGCAGGCGCTTACCGTAACCCATGAGGGACTCGCAGGTCCATTCCCCACCCTGGTCAGGCCTCCTGCAGCTCTCCCATAACGACGCTTGGTGCACGTAGGGCAAGGTCTGCGACTCCAGCCAGCCCCTGCCCGCCAGCGCAATGATACCAAAGATGACACCTATGCCCAGGAGCAGGGGTAGGATCCATCTGCACCGTGTGTAGTCGAGGCCGTACTTCACCATCTTCCAGGGCAGGGGGAGGCTGGTGGGACGAGGGTGGCCGGCTCACTGGGCAAGGGGAAGCAAAGGGCGCTTCTGCAAAGCTCCTGGAAAGTGAGCACCAGTACCTGCAAACGCGTGTGCAGATGTTTGAGAAAAGCTTTTTAATCAGGAGGCACACGTCAGGGAGGGAGGGATGATGAGAGCTCCACCTAGATTCAGATGAGTAAGAGCTGCTGCTAAGCAATAACCAGTTGAGCTGGGGGGAAGCTTGGAGGCTGGGTTTATCTGTGGGATCCTCTCTGCCCGGCTGACTAGCTAACAAATCCGGTGCTGCTTACCCTTGGCATTTAACGCTTTCCTTCCCACCACTCCCCACCAGCAGGAGCATCTCACAGCTGTGTTTACACCTTTCTGTCTCCTGAGGGATTTGCATTATGGTAGGCGAGCACAGGAGGCAAGCCCAGAACTATTTGCATTAGAGGGACGGTTGCTTCTGAAACTTGCCACCTGGAGGTTGAAAGCTGCTTTTCTGGGACTCCGTTTAAAAATAGAATGATACCTTATTTTTTACAATTAAAAAAAAAAATCCTTTAGCTGCTATAAAGCCGAGGCAATAAAGCAGTGTGACTGCTCTCCCTCCCCCTTTTGGGACATAGCTGCAGGGGAAAATAAACAAAAAGGTTTACCATTAAAAATATAGTATGGTCTGGGTATAGCCGTAGCAGGAGAACAAAAACTGAGCTATGATCTGGCCGTGCCTTATGAACACTCCCTGTGTGCGGTTCTGGCTGTACGTGCGCTGCTGGGGCCTGTCCGAGCCTGCCTGCCATGGGCAGGGATGAGCCATTGCCTTGCCGTGCCCTGGCAGGGCCGCCCAGCCGACTGCAGGGCAGAGATTTCTCTCAGTTCAGAAGCGATTTAGCCATGTTCACAGCACTCTCCCTTTGAACTAACACGTGCTACCACCTAGTATTTTGGTAGGGCCCAGATGTGTTTATATCTGGCAGCAGCTGCACCCCTTGCAGATCGAAGGTGCTTTCCATGAAACACGGTTAAGCACAGAGGATGCAAAGTATCATAACCATAATCATAAAATATGAGGTTGGAAGGGACCTCAAGGATCATCCGGACCAACCTTTCTTGGCAAAAGCACAGTCTAGACAAGATGGCCCAGCACCCTGTCCAGCTGAATCTTAAAAGTGTCCAACATTGGGGAATCCACTGTTTCCCTGGGGAGATTATTCCAGTGGCTGATTGTCCTTTGCTCCCATGGTGGATTTTGTCAGGCGAGTCAGCATCCAAGTACAGACTTCACTTACTCACAGACATCAGGTACTATATTGCAGCTTTCATGGTGAAGCGTGACATCCATACTAAACTGCAAATGTGCCACAGCGTTTTGTGGAATTAATATTCATAAATCAATAATGGACTAAATAAAAGTAATTACAATGTACAGGGGAGTGCTTGAAGAGGTGCTGAGCTTGCATAGACCCAAACTAGAACACCCACAGCAACGAGCTGCAGCACTGTGAAGAGGCAGTAGCTCTGTCACGAAAGCCATTTGAAGGGGTTAGTGTGACACCGTGCCTTATCTCTCATCGGAGATAGCCCCCCACACAGTGCAATTCTGGCTAGCTGAAGCATCCTGCCTGCGGCTCCCCCGTAGTATGGACAAGGCCCAATAACCCTGCGTTTGTGAGAGGTCCATCAGGGGCGTTCAGTGAGTCTCTGTGAGAGCAGGAGATATTTTTACAGATTTGGCCTTGGAATTTGAGTGTCGCTGAAAGCAAAAGCGAACTATGAAGACACCTCAGCTGATATTTTGGGTTGGAAATGAGGAACAACCTTAAGAAAAATGGATCAGTATTTTGTGTAAAGGACACTTTAAGGAAGCACCATTTCCTTAGAATATTATGTATCTTCCCTTGTAGTCCACATTTGTGCTATCCGCAAATTCAGTTATCGTTAACCTAAATATAATGCTTAAAATGCCATTTACCAGTTCTATAACACTGCAATATATAATTTTATGCATTAATTTTTAAAGTATTTACATTAAAACAAACATTGTTTGAAGCTCATCCTTAGTGCAATACGCTGGTACCTGCAAGCTGTCCAGCTCTGTTTACACATGTTCTTTCTGTTGTCACAGCTAAGGTAAAGATGAGCAAAAGACTGAAACTCCAAAAGATTAGAAATCCATAAAGGTATCTATCCAAAGACAGAACTCCAAATGACTGAAAGAACACGGATTTGGATATTAAATGGTTTTTAAAAGATTGCTTCAAAACCAGTCATGCATGTGACAGTAGACTGTAGCCCTTGCTCAGCTGTCTAGATCCAGTCTCTTGCCAAGTTTTAAACCTTCACAAGCAGTTACAGTTTTCTGTCATCTCAGCCTTTTCTTCTGATCTCAAAGAAAATGGCCAAAGCAAGTTAAAGCAATTTTGTAGCTGAAATCCAGTATGAAGTCAGGCACCGTCAGGTATTTGAGCACCAGTGTTTGCTGAAGAATAAAATCCTCCTCCCTGCTTTTTGAATGCTCAGCCATGTCTCAGGTAGGCATTTATGACTGAAGGATTTGTCATCAGTTTTTGTCATAACTCACCCTTGGATGAATGCATATTGTCACAAATGTTAGCATTTGTGAGATGATACCACAGAACATATTTATCATGCTGTGAAAGAAAGATGAGTAGTGTTCGGTCACCGCAGGTGTTTCCGCGTCTTGCCCATCTTTGTCATCCTGAAGTAACTTAAAACTACAAGCGATCTTGACATTCAATACAAGGGTAATTTGTGATATCTGGAACAGCAGAGAGGTGGATGTTTGCAAAGGTGACAAAATGAAGTATCTCATGTAATTCTGATACTTCTACGGCAAACTGGGAAAAATGATTGAAAACTTTTGTTAAGGAGTCTGCCATCTGAAGTGATGACTTACCCACAACGTGCTTTGTTTTTTGCAGCATATGAGCTGGGTGTTTGCATGAAAGCAAATGCTTTCTCCTTTCCGCTATCTGTGGATAGCCCCTCCTGGTTAACGCCAGAATCATCTGTTGAAAATTAAGGTATTTTATCAATGTTAAACTTGGTAGACTGTAGTGCACCTTCTGCACCTGAAAACATTCCTTAATGAATTGTCATTGCTACTTGAAGTAATCATGTAAGCAGTAGGATATTGATAAAACAATCAATTCTACAGCATTAGAGCTAAAAATATGCCCTTTTCAGCCATGACACAGTTTTCTTAGTGGAAAGAGAAGCTAACAAATGACTGGCAGCAGATTTTCATCCACCTTTAGTCTGCTGACCTGGTCAGCTGATCTATGTAAGTGACTGGATTGACATAGGCTGACAAGCTGTCGTGCATGTTCATGACTTTTGCTGCAAGCTCATTTTCAGCCTCTGATATTTGTACTGCTTATAAATAAGTCCCCAGAGTCTGGTTTTTAAAAGCTTTGCTAAAATTATTTTATTATCTGTTCTCTTGTGTGCTATCTTACATCTAACAAGTCACCCCAAGCAATTGAGAAACATTTTTTGCATGAGCTATCATAAATCTTATGACTATTATGTTTATTGATACATTTATGATCATGGGTCCTTTTTTTCTGATAATACCAATCCGCCTTTTCCCCTCGGAGAGGACCGCACCTTGCCTTGCAACTGGAATATCGCACCACAGTTATTGTTATAACCACAGCCTACGCAGTGATGCAACCCAGCCGGCCAAATCCTACTCAAGCTGAATTGTACCTTCTGGTCACTCTCTCTACCCTGCACCACCTGGGCACCAAGGCAATAGCGTTCTCAACGTGACTAATATTTCATCCATAGTAAGCGCATGTGGAAAAATACCTTTAGATACCAAAAGTGTTCACAGGATAATCCAAGCTGCAATTCCTTTATATTATTTAGAAGGATATGGGAAATGCATTTTGAACAGGGCCTGACTTTACTTCATTGCAAAATAAGAACACCTTCCTAAAAAAATGAACCCAGTTGAGATCTTGTAGTTTCCCACACACTGGGCCTTTCTGAGGGACTCTCCCACGGTGGCTGGACGCCGAGGCTCATCTGAGATGCTTGTGGTGACCTGGGAGTGCTTGGTCCTGCTGCCATGCATCTGGGAAAGTCTTCCCCTAGCTGCCTTGCACAGCACAGGAAAGCTCTGCAGAGGTTTGAGACCTCTGTTTGATGGCCACTGAGCATGGAGGAAAATTTCCACGGGGTCTTGTTAAGACTTTTAGCAAGAGCTGTCCAGGACCCGCTTGTAGTCGAACCCCCAAAGCCTGCCCCTCACACAGCACTCACTGGCTTCCCGTATTAGGAAAACACAAGATTAGGAAAACACAAAAGTCTCTGTGTGCCTGAGCGTGGATTTAATTTTCAGCTAGTTTTCGCTACAGGACACGCTTTCTTCAGGATGGGATCTGTACAGGAACAAGATTTAATCCCCAGTTACTTCTCACCCGTGCTCTGCAGTAGCACGATGAGTTCAGCCTACCCCTCCAGGCAAATAGCTGAAATCAAGGGTGTCCTCTAAACCCACCACACAGCTACTAGCTGGGATGGCTTCTGACCACTTGTAACCGGTGTGGGGGTCTGTATGTCCCTCGGGCGGCTGGCGGGAGTGCAAGCTCTCTGGTGGGCACAGAGGAAGCACACAGGGGTTTTTACAAGATCGTGTGTAAGCAGTGGCACAGCGCAGCCCTGTTCTACATACGGGATAATTTTGCTTAAACTACTTGCTTTGGGCCCCACAGCTTCTCTGTGGCATAGCTAGGCTAACTAGATAGTTGTCCCATCGTAGTGGATCGTAACACTAACTCCTTGTAAAACATATATCTCAGCTGCCTTAGGAGAGGAATAAAATCAGCCTCACATAGGTAATTCCCATGTGCCGCACCTTTGCTACTTACATTTCTCTGTCAAAGAAATGGCTTTCATTTACTGCGCCTTATGGGTCAGTTGAGAACAGCACCAGCCACTTTAAGCACCCTGAGGTATACAGA